AAAAAGAAAAAAACAAACCAGATGATCATGAGTTCAGTTTTAGAGTTCTAGAGCACTAAAATTCTAAAGATTTCTAACATTTAAAGGTTCAAACTAAATTCTATTTATTCTCTCATATTCACTCTATTCTAGCCTTTGAAGGCTTACTAACTGTCCCCTGGATAATCAGTTACGCTAATCTCTATGTTCTCAAAGACTTTATCCCTATATTAGCATTTTTATCAGTGAGCTATAAATATTGATATACAAGTCCTTTTGCCCCTACAAGCTTATGAGTGCCTGAGAACAGGAGCTATGGCTTACATATTTTGTATCATTAAAATCTAGACCTGTACCTAGCACATAGTAAATATACCTTAAGTATTTACAGACTTAAATAATCTATAAAAAAATAAAACAATCAAAATCAAGTATCCAAAAATCAATCCTTCCTAGCTTTATAATTTAAGAATGTATCTATAAATTTCTCAAAGAAACATTCTTTACATATATTTTTAGCATACAATAACTGACTTATCCACTCAAGAGATACTTAATGAGGGACAACTAGGTTTTAGAAATAGCCAAATGCTGAAAATACAGTGGAACAGTCATTCCCTTTGCCTGTAGGAGACAGGCATTAAACAAATTAATCACAAGGATAAATATACCATTACTCCACCACCGTCGAGTCGGGTCTGACTCATAGTGACTCCTTCCTTGGGTTTCAGAGACAGTATCACTATGGAAGTAGATTGCCCAACCTTCCTTCTGAGGAGTGGCTGGTGGGACTGAACCACCAGCCTTCTGGTCAGCAGTCAAATGCCTTAGGCACTATGCCACCAGAGCTCCTAAATAAACCATCACAAGTAAAAAATACAGAGAAAATATGAAAAATAAAACAGATTGAACTCAGATTAGATTGAGGGATCAGAGATGACATCCCTGATAAAGTATAAATGAAGCTGAGATGTGAACAATTAGGGAAGGTACGATTAATTATAGTTCAACATGTTAAAAAAAAAAAAACTTTAAAAGGCCAATGTGGACTTGCAGTAAGATGGAGGAATGGGCAGATAAGCGACACAGACCCTCTTCAACCAAGAAAAGAAAAACCAATTGACAGAGGTACAGAAGATAATCCTGGAGCCCTGAGCTTGGAAAAGAACTATACAAAAATGGGTTAGAAACCAACTAGTGGAAAAACCTGAACAAAAACAGTGAGTACAGAGACAGTCGAAGCTGTGGACTGTCAGAGCTGCAGACTGTCAGCTACTCTGACGGGACCAACAGCCTGAATATTTCCAAGGGTGTTAGGACCTGAGAATTGACCTAAAGATCAGCCCTGGTCATGAAGGGCTATAGGGACAACTGCACTGGTGGCCTATGACTAGGAAGGGAAATAGCAAAAAGGCAGACAACCTGAGCTGTGGACTTGCTGCTGTCCAGAGGGTGCAGCCATTTTGATTGTTTATTTACATGTGGAAGCCATTTTGGATATTCAAAGTGACCGAGGGTTCAGCCATTTGCAATCTTTACAAGTGTCACCCATTTTGGATTTTAAAATGATAGCATTCTCATTCGGATTCCAGAGACCTAAGAATAGGCTCTGTTTGCCAGGGTCAGTAGGGACATACAAGAGGCTGACAACAGGAAAGGAGACAGGTGGTAAGTGTGTAAGTGCTGTCAATTAGTGAATAGAGGAGCACAACACAGTGCCCTGCTTACATAGATAATCCTTTGAAGATACCTAAATATAATTCTTTTGAATTCCTTATCAGGGAGTTCCAATGTTGTGTCTTCCTAAGGGATGTGTTTTGGGTCTGTATCCTGGTCCCTTGTTTCTCCTGCTTTATCTT